AGAAGAGGGAACACTGAGACAGCAGATGCCATTGAGCTGGAGGTGGGAGCAACTGGGATTAGGAAGGAAGATGAAAGGATGAACCTTGAATGGAGGAGCACACATTCCTTAGAAAAAGGAAACAAAGGAAATAAAGAATGGATAAAGATGTGGAGACATTTTGAGCTGCAAAGGAATTAAGTGGCCAAGACCTCTGATAAAGTGATGTAAAAAGATAAATGATGACATACGATCAATTTCAGTGAGTATGTTTCTGTAGATCTCAGTTTTATTACCAACTAAACGTGATGATGCAAGATTAGAAATCAGCATTAGGAGCTGTGCTACCAGCTTGTTAATAATGGTAGATGCACACCCAGGTGAAGCATCCAACTATTCCCCGATAGTACTGGAGTGAGATTAGAGGGATTGCTGAATTAAAAATCTCACTGTCATTTGAGATGATGAGATTGTCTATCTTTCAAGCAGGTTTCTTTTAGAAATCAGTTATCCAAATAAGCCACATGAAATACAGGCAGTGCCCTGATTACAAACGTGTTTCATTCCTAAATCTGTCTTTAAGTCAAATCTGTACGTAAATCGGAACCGTTAGGTATAGTTCTCATATAATGTCAGTTAGTCAAATGTTTGTCTTAGTATACAGTATATACTGTATCTTTCCATGCAGAAAACATTATAAAAAACTTCCAGATACACTAAAAAACATAATACAGTAATAATACATAATACAGTAATAATAATGTTTTGATGCATATCGCAAAGTAGCACCTGTTATCATGAACCATTTTATGTACCTCGAATTTTTAATATAATAGGTTTATGGGGGTTGGTTCATAACTACAGGTTATATGTAAGTTGGACATTTGTAACCCGGAGACTGCCTGTATATAACTGATAGAAGAGTCTCCATTCTGCCTGGTATTATCTAATGTAAGATTCATTTTTGTTTTTTTTTTTTTGTTTTTTCCTTGCTTTTACAGTAGTGTGGTATTTTTAGAGAATTTTAATCTCTAAAACAGGGGTTGGCAAACTACGACCTGAGGTCTGGCCCACCACCTGTTTTGTAAGTAGTTTTACTGGAACATAACCATGGCCTTTATTTTACATATTGTCTGTGGCTGGTTTTGTGCTACAACAGTAGAGTTGAGTAGTTGCAACAGAGATCCTATGGCCTATGAAACCTAAAATATTTACTCTCTGACCTTTTATAGGAATAGCTTCCTGACTTCTACCATAAAATTATGAAGCTTCTGGTTGCAACAATGCCCCGGTTAGAAGGGAGAGGGGAGCAGCAGGCAGATTCCAGCCAAAAGTAGGGCCCAGTACCAAACGTGCAGGTTTTGCCTACATCACCATCTTCAATACGTATTTGATATTTTAAAAACTGTTTGTAAATGTCTCAAAAATATCAATAGAGTGATTATAAAAGAACTCTTGAATACTTTGGATGATTATACATAAATAAATTAGGGTAATTTATTACAACTGCAGCCATTCATGGACTCCTAATAAATTCCCTAGCAAAGCAGAATCTAGAATCATCATGGTCTATTGCCAGGCTTGAGAATCATTATGTTACAAGTATGCATGATGTACTCATTCTTTAGTGCATATGATCACCTTTTGACTTTCTATCTTCTTAGCAGGGACAGATGTAAGAAATCTGATGAAAATGTGTTTGTTGTTACAAATGGCAGAAACCAAAAGCAGCATTAAGATCAAGTGAATTCTAAAATATTCTGGAAATAGAAATTACTTCTATAAATATCTGGCTATGAAAATGCATCCCAACACATGCTGATGAAACCTCTATGTGACAATGTCTTCCGATCCATACACTAACTAAAGATTACAGAGACTTTATATTTGTAGCTAAAAAATGAAGAGAACAGCTCATGTAAAAGGCTCTTTAATTTCTTAAATATAAAAAAATTTTAATCTGAATGGACAACAATAATGCTGACTATTTGCTTTGTTCTTATTTCTTGCTTTAAAAAATACTAGTATCCTTTCTCTTCAATTTCTCCATTTCTATGTAGGTAAATAATTTCTAATTTTTTTTCACTCTCAATGCTTTTTAGAAATATACCTCTTGAAGTTCAAAAGTATTCCATGAAATCTACTGATTATTCTGTTATGCTCCTCAGCTTCTGATACTGATAAAAATATTTTAGCGGTATTAATACCTTCTTTTCCAATTGTTTTATGAATATTACATGCACAAAGGTCCTTAATATTTTCTGATAATCAAAAAAGATTCTAGTTCTCACTAGGGACAGCAGGTCTGCAATGTATTATTCTATCTGTGACACACGGAGTTATCATAACGGCATTACAAAGGTACATATTCTTAGTTTCAGGAAAGGTGTACTTAGCATCCTCAAGATGAACAATGTCTTGGAGGTCCCAATGTCAGTGCTCTTAAGTATGAAAGCAACAAGCACACCATGCTAGGTTTGAAAGCAAGCAGAACAGCAGGGGGGAAAAAGAAAAAACTGAAATGGGATTTTGCATGTTACACAAAGTGGGTTTGACTATTTAGATACCTGTAAAGTGTAGCTATTTAAGTGTTGGCATAATGTAAAGTGCACAGAGGACTTCAGATTTTTCTTCAACAAACAAGTAGCAAGAATAGCCTATGCTGTGATCGACTCTCACAGCCCAGGAGGATTTAACCCCTTTAGGAAAAAGAAGTCTCTACACTGCCTAAATACCACATCATGAAGGATTTGCAAATACAAGTCGGCATTTTGCCCTTAATTCCTTAAAACACACACACACACAGAGGCACTATTTTCTTATTAGTAGGCTTTTAGAGGTCTCAGTGGAAGTTCAAATGCCGTAGCACCTCTTTTTATTCTTCTTTTGTTTTGCCGAGAGATAAATTATTTTAATTCTTCTTTTCTCATCAAGTTTTATTATTTTGCTACTGTTTTCTTTCCAAATTTTCTTCATATTTACAGAAAACCCACAGATATTCTAGGAACTTATCTTTGTGCCAAATTAAAAATTACAGAAATGTCACAAACTCAAAAGCTATATTTAGGTTACACTGAGACATGACAGACAATGCTACCTTTTATAGTTTGGATAAATCCTCCAGTATTTCTAGTGTAAACTCACAAAAGGACAACCATGTGCAGTGATTAATTTGTTCATAAATGTGTGTTCCCCTTGATTAGATTCTGAGCATTACCTTAAAAAGGAACTGAAAGCACAGTACAGACATTTTTAAGACTGAGGGTGAGTGGCAGAAGTCGTGGACATTACTTATGTTACCTATCAGTTTAGGTGCTAGAAGCACACCAACAAAGACTAGGCCACTATGTTGAGTTCCAGCACACACAAAAAAGAATTTTATCATCTAAAAATATTTGACAGTCGCATATTTCTGCTGAATTATTAGCTTACTGTGATTTCAAATAGAGGTTATTAGGTACAATAACCAGTATATATGTTCCTTAAAATATATTAAATTGAAATTTAATAACAATACCACTTTGCAATTGAATATCACTTTTAAAAAATTAAGAAATATTCCTATTCTCCCCTTTTCACTCTGGAGAGTTACGAGAGGTACAAAGTAGAGATATTATCATTGCCCACCCCCCTTTTTTCAAACTTTAAAATAAAAGCAGGGAGAAAGTAAGTGACTCCTGAAGACCCCATCACTAGCTAATGGAGGAACAGACGAGGGCCAGATCACCCTACTGCCTTAGTTTTTGCCAACAGACAAGACATCACATTTCTGATATTAAAAGGCAGAGAAGCTTTTAACTTTAACTTCATTCTGACTGAATACTACTAAAACAAATTGCTAAAATATCAGTTCGAAATTACTTTGACTCACTTCAAGCAGTTAATGATCTAGAAATAAACAATCTGGGAGTTCGAGGTATTTGCAGAATACGTAATTTTTTTGTTGTATTTTACCTGTTTTCTAAATTTCTATTTTATCAGATATGAGGTTTCCCAAAGTAGCTCAGAAATGGCTAGGAGGGTCTATAGGACTACAACATACAGTATATAGCATGCCTCCTTTGGGGTTAGGTTACCACCCTTTCTCCACATTGCTATTTTAATGACAAGAGCATAGTCAACAATAGCACTATTTTGACACTATATTCAAACAAATAATATACCATGGGGTTGGTTTTATGTAAAAGTTTTATTATTGAAACGTTTAAAAATCTTAACTCATGGCTGAACCTGGATACAAACAGACACGGACACCATACTACTCCCTTCCGTAGAGCACTAATGAGTGATAGGGAAAAGAGGGGGTCAAAGTGGAGGCAGAAAAATGTGCAACATTCATGCCAGTTTCATATAGACGCACTTCTTATCAAATAAACCCTGACCCTCTTCCTCAAATAATTCTTACTTAATCCCTTATTTTTATGCTACCTTCAAGCAACTCAGGAAAATGCTTCTTAACACTGCACTTTTTCCAATACAGAAGAGCCCACTCATTATAGAACCTACCTCCAAAACAACATAAGCTAACAAACAAACAATCTAAACATCAATGGTGAAAAACCATGTAAAGCAGTACTGGCTTACCGCTACTTCTTTAAATGATTCCCAAAATAATGGTAAGGCTGCTTTAAAACTTCCTGTCTTATTCATCAGCACTTTTAAAATTTCATTGAGGAGCACATTTCAACATAAGTGAGAAGAAAATATGTCAACAGAAATGGCTGCAACTTTCCCTAATGAACTAGAATGCATTCCTTTATGAACAGAAAGCTCCTGAAAATCTAGCTGTAGGAGAGATTTGGGCTGGTGAAAAAGAGGAAAACCAAGGGTTCCAGAAAACAGTTAATCCAAAGCAGCCCTGGAGTCAGAGAGCATGGCACAGAATAGATTCTACATATATGACATAAATACAGAAGAACACAAACAAAAAAGTACATGGCTCCTCACTGGTCACTCAGATAACAACAGAATAAAGTACATATAAGGAAATAAATAGAAAAGTGCCCCAAACGTGCCCTTACCTATGTGAGTCTGGGCCATGACGTCAGCCAGCCTGTGGGCGGCACCACTCCCACCACTTTGCGTGGAGGAGGAGGATGTTGTGGATGTGGTAGAGCCATGGATGGCTTGGCTGATCCAGTGCTCCATGTTGATGCTGCCTTGGCTGGAGGTGGGGGTTCCCTGGGAATCACCCTGTACCGAGCCTTCATCTTCTGAACCAGAAGAGGTATCTGTGTGGTGTGTAAAAAGAGATGTGATTTGCTACCTATTGTAGCAGAGACACACCAAAATCTCAATTCCTCTTCAGTCCTCTGTTGTAAATACAGATTTATCTCACATAAGTGCTCTGTTAATGCTTTAAATACTCTTGAAAAGTTAAACCACTTTTCAAATAATCTTTTTTTTTGGGAAAAGGATTTTTTCATCTAAAAACACATTGAGCAATTATGTTATAAAAAGCTTATTCTGACATTTCAATCTCAGACAGAGACACCAATTTGCTCCACACAACACTTGAGGAAGAAATCAAATTATATAAAGAAATAAGCATAATAAATTTTAATAATATATTATTATTTAACTCAAAATATCTAAAATATTATCAGTCAACATGTAATAAATATAAAAATTATTAATGAAATATTTCCATTTTTTCATATCAAGTGTCTGAAATCTAGTATGTTTCACACTTATAGTAAATACAATTCACAGTAACCACATTTCATGCACTTAATAGCCACATGTGGTTAGTAACTTCTGACAGTGCAGTGGAGGCCAGCTTGTGTTCATCTTCTACTGGCTGCGTTTTTCTTGACCACAGATTACATTTTTCCTGTTTCTTTGTATATGTAGCAATTGTTTACTGAATACTAGGTATTTTGGATAATATGTGAGGAGACTTTGAATTCTGTCATCTCCCTCTGAAGCTCTTTGACTGTTATTTTAGCAGGCAGTTCAATTACTGATTGATCATCTTGAACATGAGCGGGGTTGAATTTATTCTTTGTTAGTGTGTATCCGTGAAAAGCCCAAGGTGTTTCCCATGGTCCCCTAAATTGGCAATACTCAACCTTCAAACTCCAGCTCCCTGTGCATCCTGTTGGGGCTTGGTTTTAGAGCTTCTTAATGTAGATCTAGAGTAGGTGTTACTCTAGTGTGTGGTCCTCGTTCCTAAAGTACAGCCTTTCTCATGTGTCAGCTGGATGCCAGGCATACCAAAGAGGTGTTAAGGAGATCTCTATTGTGACAGGACAGAACTTCAGTGTCACTCAATACTATTCACCAAGCACTGTTCAAACTCTAGTGTCTCTGTTCTTCTCTCTGAACCCCACAGTAGTTGCCATCTAATTAGCCTAAGATGGTCTTTCAATGGGTCTGTACAATCCAATCGTCAGGATGCAAGGACTTCTGGGGTCCCTTCTCTGCAGAGTTCTTTCTGCTCTGTAGAGATGTCCTCTCTGATGTCCAATCTAAAGTAGATTTCAGCCCTTTCACCTGCCAGGAACTCTGATCTCTGCCTCCTCAACTTAGTAGGATTGTGGTGCTTTGATCAGACTCCAACTCTTTGTGCCATGGCCTGAAAATTTTCTCCAGGCAGAGAATTTGGGAATTGTAGGGCTCAGCTTATAAGTTTTCCTCTCTCAGGTATCACAGTCTTGTACTGCCTATAGTCCACTGCCTAAAAATAGCTCTCATCTGTTTTGTGCAGTTTTATAGTTGTTTATAATAGAGACAGATTAGACTGGTAACCAGTTACTCCATTATTGCTAGAAGCAAAAGTCTTGGTAAACTATTCTTATATTTTTTTACATGTGAAAGCTAAAAGAAAGCTTCTCCAGTAGAAGACTGTTCAAAATACTGTTAAGCACAAACTACAGGTAGTCCCTGACTTACGATGTATTCGAGTTATGACAAATTGCACTTATGACCATCTGTTTGTTTGTTTTTTTTGGTACATTGTATCATTAGTAATACGTTGCAGTGCATAATTTGCTGATGTTATTCTTCTCAGATGTTCACTCACAGATGTTCAATTTTATAATTTACTGTTCAAAACACTGCCTGATTTATAAAGATACTGATAATAAAAGGCAATAATAATGAAAACTTTTAAAAAAATTAGGTATTCAACTTACATCAGAACCAACTTATGACAGAGTTGCTGGAACAGAACCCTGTTGTAAGTTGGGGGCTACCCATAGATTGTGAATGAAAATGTTTTATGATGATGGTGTTGACATTTACGATTGTACAAAATTATCTCATGTGATATTACCACTAGGACTCCTGAATGACAGTTTACAAACTGTATTATATGCAGTGCAAGAAAATGCTAGCCAAATAATTAAATGCAAACGTTTCACAAAAAATAACATTTCCAATAATTTTTTTTTATGCTTTATAAAGACATTTGTGAAATAAGGCTTAGTTTTCTGAAAGGTCATCACGTATGACATAGTAACATTTTTCAATGGATTGATTCAATGTGAAATAAACACATACGCAAAAAAATCACATTGATTTCTTGTACGTTAAACTCATCTTTGCCATAATATGGGGCCCTGGTAGCACAGTGGTTAAGAGCTTGGCTGCTAACCAAAAGGTTGGCAGTTCGAATCCAATAGCTGCTCCTTGGAAACCCTATGGGGCAGTTCTACTCTGTCCGGTAGGGTCATTATGAGTCAGAATTGACTCGACGGCAATAAGTTTTTGGTTCCCATAATAAAAAAGGATTCAGAAAAATATCTATCTTTCTGAATATCACCTAATTCCAAAGATTTGTCTAAAAAAATTGTTTAAGTGGGTTTCTTACTCTTATAAGACCATTCTGTTTTGTTACACACAGAATACACCTAAAATAATTTATTTTTACATTATAAATTTTGGTGAATTACGACCACAAACCACACAAACTGACACAACTTAGCATATTAATTACGTTGATTTTTAAATAGTTCCAAATTATGTTTTGTGGATCAGCATAAAGAATGAAAGGAGACTAAGAAAGCAAATTAGCAAAAAGGACTCTTTGGACTAATAAAATACTGTATTCTTGAGAGGAAGAACATTTGGAGGATTGTTGGCAGATCAAAAAACAAAACAAAACAAGAAAATAAAGGTTGCCTTATAAAGCTTAGTATGGTCACTTTCAAAGGCATGTAAAGTTAAATACTTAGTGTTGTCTGAAGTAATACCCATGTATACTTGACCACATTTATGGTTTGAAGTACGTGCCTCTGTATCTTCACTGCTTACAAACACTCAGGTCTAAAGTTCAAAATATCAAAATACTCCAAAAAGTGTTGTGTACATTCAAATATTCCTATTGTAGCCTAAGTTTCTCTTGTTGGGGGAAAAAATGGTGGCATTTAAAACTGTCCAAAGTGTATGCTAGGTAACAAAGTTCTATGCAAAACACAGAATTGCAACAATGACATAAAATAACACTAGAATCAAAACCACAGAAACAAAACATCGAGTGAAGTAGGTTCAACCCTTCATGTTTTTAATAGATATTTGGATAATTTAACTTACTGTTTCACTTTGGTTTTGAAGATTATGAAATATAGATTACAATTTTTGGGGCACGGTGGAGTAGGGAACTTTGTAGTTATGCAAAATTTAGGATTAAATAAAAGAAGTATTATATAACACAAATATAAATGGGATATTACATTCAACCATTTAGATCAGGAGTTGGCTGGTCCATGGGCCAAATCCAGCCCTTCACCTCTTTTAGTAAATAAAATTTTATTGTAACACAACTATACCCATTCTCTTACATACTGTCTATGGCTGCTTTAGTATTACAGTGGCAGAATTGAATAGTTGCAAAAGAGATTATATGGCCTGCAAAGCCTAAAATACTGTCAGGGACTTTATAGAAGACATTTGAGGATTCCTAATTAACATAACTCCTTAGATTTTTCAATTCATTTGATTTATTAAACAATACAACACAGCATATCTATATTTTAAAGGCACTGAGAATAAATATACAACAGCCTAAATGGAAGAAAAGTGCAATTTCAGTTTGTACTATGAAGTACAACTCTTGTTACATGAAGAGGTAAAATTCATGAAATTTTATAACTTTACAAGTATTTTATTATATTTATTTATGAGTCTTTCCTCTCAAGTTTAATTTAGAGTATGTATTCTGCCTAGGCTTCTGGTTCACACCATTATGTCCAAGCTAAAAAGACTGTGATTGCTAGGGTAGTAATCAATTAATCCTAAAGACACACTTCTGGATTTTAAAAGGCAGTGGCTGCTGCTCACCTGGAGGTGTGTAGGCATCCATCGAGGTCTGTACAACCAAAGACCTGCGTTTGGAAGGCATAGGCACTGCCATCTTTCTTTCTTTGTGTTTAGCAAGAGCTGCCTGAACAGCTTCAGTATGAACATCTAAAACAAAAGAAGAGAGCTCAGTTATGCCATTGTTCAGTTAAGACCATAATGGTAACGTGCTTTTTCTCCTTTTCTCTCTGGCCTTCTGGCAAAGTGTATCTTCCTACTACAACTGTAAAAATGGATGGGTGAACAAGAAAAAAAGTTTAAATCTACTAGTTTGTAAGCTCCAATAAGATGACATTAAAATTCATTTTTTTAATTATTCATTTATTACCATAAAATCTATATTAAATAATCAAACACTGGCTGTAAACATCCATGTGATTTTTCTTTTCTTAGGGTGAATAGATCTTGATGTTCACATACTTCTTTATAGGTCACATTTTCAAGCCCCATTAGTCACATCAATTTACTTGTAAAAGAAGTATATATGTCTTACAGGTAGTAATGATTATACCTAACATTTATTAAGTACTCATTTGTGGGCCAAGCATTATGTTAGGCATTTTATATATATTAACCCATTGTATTAATTCATTGATTCCACAAATAGTCATTGAATGCTTACTGTCTTAGTTATCTAGTGCTACTATAACAGAAATACCACAAGTAGATGGCTTTAACAAAGAGAAATTTATTTTCTCACAGTCTAGTAGGATAGAAGTCTGAATTCAGGATGCTAGCTCCAGGGGAAGGCTTTCTCTCTCTGTCAGCTCTGTGGGAAGGGCCTTGTCATCAATCTTCCCTGGTCAAGAAGTTTCTTCTCAGTGCAGGGACCCCACAGCCAAAGGACATGCTATTCTCCTGGCTCTACTTTCTTGGTGGTGTGAGGTCCCATGTCTCTCTGCTCGCTTCTCTCTTTTATATCTCAAAAGAGACTGGCTTAAAACACAACCTAATCTTGTGGATTGAGTCCTGCCTCATTAACGTAACTGCTGCTAATCCCATCTCATCAACATCATAGAGATAGGATTTACAACACATAGGAAAATCATATCAGATGACAAAATGGTAGAAAATCATAAAATACTAGAAATCATGACTTAGCCAAGTTAACAGATGTTTTGGGGGCACACAATTCAATTCATGACACTTACTTTGTAAGTAGTATCTTATGGGCTGGGGCAGTGGGAGATAAATTAACTATGTCTCATGCAGGGAAGAGCTCTCTTAATTTGAAATCAGAATAATAAGAATGAACCAGCTTTTCGCTGTCAAGGTAAGAATTTCTAAGGCATGTGAAACCACCAGCATGAAGGTCCTAAATGTGAATGAGAATGGTGTTGGCAGAAAGAACAAAAAAAACAACAGTGGGATTGAAGACTAGTGGTAAAGGGAGAAGGATTCAGCAGGGTGAGAGCTTTACAGGCCATGGTAAATAGTTCAGATCCTATTCTAAGTATAACAAGAAACTACTGGATTTTAAACAGGAGAATGACATGATTTATGTATTGGCAGGATCATTCTAGCTTTTGTGAAGAAGACTGCAGGAGAACAACCATAGAAGCTGGGAAACAGAAGGCAGCAGTCCAGATCAGATATGACCATAGTCACAATACAGTCATGTGCCATATAATGTCCATTTGGACACTGTCTGACCACATCCACATCTGTGGTCCCATAAAGATATACAGGCAATCCCTGGATTATGAATGAGTTCTGTTCCTAAGTCTGTCTTTAAGTCAAATTTGTATGTAAATCGAACAGTTAGGTACAGATCTTATCTAATGTCAGTTGGTCAAATGTTTGTCTTAGTATATAGTATATAGTGTACCTTTGTATGCATAAAAACATTAAAGAAATACTTCCAGATACACTATAATATCTTTAACATAATAGTACAATAATAATAATAATGTTTTGATATGCATTGCAAAGCTGCATCTGCTTGTCATTATGAGCCATGGTAAGAACCTCAAATTTTTAAAATAATAGGGAGGCAGAGCCAATACGGCACCATAGATGGAAGCACCAGGCTGGCCCTCTGCAGCAAAGACCTGAAAAACTGCGTAAAACAGATACAAACATCAATCCTGGAACCCTAAGCATGAAACAAAGGGATAAAGAACTATATCAAACACTGAATGGAAGAACAAACTAAGAGAGAACAGAGAACAAGGAGAGCTACGGAGTGGAGATCTCCTGCCAGCTAATGTGGCACGGATTCACCATCTTGGACTACAGCCACAACGACCCTGCACAGGGAGTACACGAAGGCAACTTCATGGAGGTCCCAACAGAAGACAGAGCACCCGCTCTGCACATCACATTCTTTTCCTTCCTTCCTGCTTCTATGCACTGAGCAATGAGGGTCATGTCCCTGAGTGGTGCTCGTGTGGACCACTGGACCCTCAACCCTGCCCTGTGGCATGCACCAGCTCCACCCTGCTGAGCGCCACACCGAGTGGCCCCAGTGCCGACCCCCAGATCATGCTCCATGCTGCCCCATGGCCCCATCCCACAGACTGCTGTGCCCCCAAGCGGAACCACTGCAGGCCCCTGGACCCCGCCATACACCACCCCCAGCCCTGCCCTGCTGAGCATGATGCTCCTGAGCAGCACCAGGGTGAACCCCTGGACTACACCCAGTGCCGTCCTTTGGCCCTGCCCTGTCAAGCACTGCACCCCTGGGCAAGACTGATGCAGACCCTGGAACCTACCCAGTAAAGCCCCGACCCCGCCCCATCAAGTGTCGGGCCCCCAAGTGGGACCAGTGTGGACCATCAGATCTGCAGATCCTGCCCAGCCATGCCTCCCCGACCTGACCCACCAGCCCCAGTTTGTGCAATAAACAACCCACCCCCACCCTCCCCCACACTGGACCTGCCCTGCTGCACCATAGCTGACTGACTAGCCTTGCCCACCTAGACAAGGTGGTGAGAATTACCAGACCTACAGATAAGCAAACAACAAAACTCATGCAGCCCGCCTTCCCAGACATAACCAAATAAAAAAAAAGCAGGACGAAACAAACAAACCTACACTCAATAAACAAAAAAATAATTCTGGAATGTCTTGGAGACAGCAGACATTATCAAAACATAGAAAAAACAGGAAAGGATGACTCCAGAAGATGACCAAAATAAAACACCAGATGACCTTCCAGTAGAATAAAAGGCACAGGAACTACCTGATAGGGAATGCAAAACTCTAATATTCAGGGCTCTTAAAGAGATTAAGAAACAGATGAAGGAAAACACAGACAAAACTAAGGAAAAAAACAGACAAAATGATGGAAAATACAGACACAATCAGGGAAAACACAGATAAAGCAATGGAAGAATTGAGGAAAATAATACAAGAACAAAATGTCAAAATAAATAAACGATTAGAAATAATGGAAAAATAGCAATTAGAAATCCAATAGATAACAAGATTTCAGAAATGGCAAATGCAATAGAAGATTTTAGAAGCAAATGTGAAATAATGGAAGACAGGATCAGTGAAACTGAAGACAAATACAGAGATTTTTAAGGATCCCTGTTGTGGCTCATTCTTTTTTGAAACTTCCCCCTTAATTTCCAACTTTTTCTGACAGTCTCAAATTCCATCCTCAGACATTTTTAAGCCAGTCACTATGGCTTTCTCTGTGGGTTTTAGAAGTCCCACATCATGACAACTTGGAAAGAGTCTCAAGGCAAAAACCAAATAAATCTGAATCTCACATAGTGCTATACGCTTTTTTCAAGTATTCCTTCCATTTTCAGCCTATTTTTAGGAGTCGTTCTTCTAGTGCCTTCAAATAATTATTTTTTATAAAATTATTATTTTTATAGTTATTTTAATATTGTGTGAGTCTAGAGTTTATTATTGTAATGAACAATAGAGTGTATTATTGTAATCTATGGGAGAATAATCTGTTTGTCTGATACACACTCTCCTCTCAGTTCCAGAACCAGAAACCATCTCTGTACCTCATTAGTCCCATTTGGTTTTACGGGGCTGTCCACCACCAGGCTGAACAGTGAACCTCAGAGATAACTTCACCACTGACCTAAAAGGGTGTCTGGGGACCATACTCTCAGGGTTTCTCCAGGCTCCAAAAACTTACATTTTTAACATGAAACAATCATTTTCGAAAGGATAAACAGACAGGAAAGTAACATTTTATAGTGATTTATCTTTTCATAAATATAAAAGACATTTACAAAATTGCTAGCTCTATAGACAAGTCTTCTAAATTCGGGTCATAAAGTTGAGAGAAGATAGTAAAAGAAGAATAAATTAAACTAAGAGACCAGCATGACCTAGACAGGGCCTGCTCCTTCAGGCTTATGCCTGGAATAAGAAAGATATGGACCAGTTTACCCAGAGCCTGCAGCAGAGCCACAGCAGATCTGTTGCACTCAGGTAATGCAAGCAAGAAATAAACATTTGTCACTGCAAGCCACTTAAACTTTGGGTTGTTTATCAAGCAGCAAAACTGAACAACATATAAATGAAGGAAGAAACTAAGCTTCTAACTAATTCCTTTCAAAAAGACAACCTGGAAATATATTTTAAACTCAAAACAATGGCATTATAAAGGTAAAAAAAAAAACAACAACTGTAAAGAGTACCCTGAAGATTCCATCAGATTGTATATTAAATAACAATGTTCAATATTAAGTAAAATAACAGAATAGTCCCCATCCTCCAATTTTGTTATTACTAAAGATCATTTAATAAGAAGGTTAATCCAATGAAAACAAGGCAAGTACAAAGAAAAAGAGTAACTTCCCGAAAGCAGATTAGACTCTCAGTGTAATTATAAGAAAAAACATTCCATTCTCTGCAACTTTGAATAAAATGGCTGACTCATAATTTACCTCCATGTGTTAAACCATTCCAGTGTTTAATAATCCCCACCTCATAACAAAATATCTCTAGACTCTTGGACAGCAAACACCTTAAAACAGCAACTGGACAGACAGATCTTTCTGGAAAGAGGTTTTGAAATGTGATGATTACCTAGTGGTGGGGGGAGGGGAGACCAAATCAATGTCAATGTGTGACTCTCCTGCTTTTTCAACTTTGTTTCTCCCTTTTGTCTCAACGAAGTTGGTAGCTCTTCT